TGTAGACCAGGCTGGCCTCAAACTCACAGAGATCAACCTTCCTCTGCCTCCCAAGTGCTGGGATTAAAGGTGTGCACCTCCAGTGCCCCGGCAGGACTGGGTAGTTTTAAACAACGGAAGTATGTTGTTTTAGTTCTGGAAAATAGAAGTCCAGTATCAGGGTGTTGGCAACACTGTGCTTTTTCTGACACCTAATTAATTAATTAATTTGAGATGGTTTCTCTGTGAAGTTTTGGCTGTCCTGGAACTCTTTTTTTTTGGGGGGGGCAGCTTTGGAGGCTGTCCTGGAACTAGCTCTTGTAGACCAGGCTGGTCTTGAATTCACAGACCCCCCCCTGCCTCTGCCTCCAGAGTGCTGGGATTAAAGGCATGCGCCACCACCACACAGCTCCTTCTGATAACCTGTAAGAAAGCACTCCCTTGCTTTCCCAGATTTTGGTATATCACCATACTTTATGCCTCATAGCCACTACCTTCTGTGCCTGTGTTATAACCTTGTCCTTTTCTTGAAAGAATGCAGGTTTTATTAGATTAAGGCCACCCTACTTCAGAATGACCTCTTCTTAACTAATTACACCTACCTGAACTCTGTTTGCAAATAGCTCATGTTCTGGGGTACTGAAGGATCCAACATGAGAGGGATACAATTTATCAGCAGTGCCCATTGTTATATTATGGTTGCTCAGGAGCTGGGCACTAGAACAAGGTCTCCTGGGATGGCATTGGTATATAGGCTGTTTATTGGTACAGGAGCCATTCCTTGCCAGGTAACATGCCATATGAGCCTCTGCCTTGCTCATCTGGGTTATTCTTGCTGATTCCTGCCCAGGCTATGAGGACCCTCAGTTGGAAGCACACCCTGGGCTTGGTGACAATGGATGTAGAGCTGGCTGACCGCACCCTGTCTGTTGCAGTGACCCCAGTGCAGGCAGTGGTCTTGCTGTATTTCCAGGACCAAGGTAAGTCCCTAGAACCCCACCTGGTCTGCCTGAGCACCCTACCGTGGAGCCAGTGCAAGGTACTACTGTCTAATGAGCTGTGAGGTGACGCACTGCCCCCCACTGCCACCCGGTTTGGGCAGGAGTCAGAGGTAGCAACCATTCTTTTTACCTGTGAGTCAGGCTGGACAATGCACATCCCTATGGGGGCCAGCTGGCTAACAGGAATTAGAAGGTATAACCTTCAGTGTCCCCAGCATCCCTGTGGCTCTGCACACAGCCAGCTGGACCCTGGAGGAGCTGAGCAAGGTGGTGAAGATGCCTGTGGCATTGCTGCGGAGGAGGATGTCAGTGTGGCTGCAGCAGGGTGTGCTACGGGAGGAGCCTCCAGGCACGTTCTCTGTTATTGAGGAGGAGCGGCCTCAGGACAGGGACAACATGGTGCTCATTGACAGTGATGATGAGAGCGACTCAGGCATGGCCTCCCAGGCTGACCAGAAGGAAGAGGAACTGCTGGTGCGTTGGCCACTTCCATAGTGGGCTGGGGGTGGGCCAAGTAAGTGGCTGACTGACCATGCCTGGCTTCTGTTCCTAGCTCTTCTGGACATACATCCAGGCCATGTTGACCAACCTAGAAAGCCTTTCTCTGGAGCGCATCTACAGCATGCTCCGAATGTTTGTAATGACTGGTCCTGCACTGGCTGAGATTGACCTGCAGGAACTTCAGGGCTACCTGCAGAAGAAGGTCCGCGACCAGCAGCTCGTCTACTCTGCAGGTGTCTACCGCCTGCCTAAGAGTTGCAACTGATGGCCCCCTTCCAGGCTCTGACCCATAGCATTCATGCCTATGTGGAAAGACAGCTAGGATACCTTCTGGCCCCATGTCCATGTGCCCAGCCTCCACCCATTCCCTGCCTAACACCCAGAGTACAAATTAAAGTAGATTGGTTCATCCTTTTGTGTAGTTTTTTGGACCCACATGGTCATATATAGGTTTGTCCTCTATGGCCACCCTAACTTAGCTCTGTAGGGCCTATTTTCCCAGTAGCAGGTAATGGGGCTACCCAATCAACCAGGCTTACTCCAGTCTGTAGGGAGACACATACCATGCCTCCTAAGGGCTGGCTACAGGTGTGCCTGACCACACCTGTCAGGGTATGGTCAAGGTGAGGTCAGGAAGCAAGGCACACGGGACCCTTCTCTCTGGCTGGCCTTCCTGCCTTGCTGTCCCTGGCACACTCTGGCTTGTGTTTGGCTGGTGTTTATCTGAATAAAGATATCTTAACCTTACAGACTACGGATTGTCTCTCGTTATACCTGGCGCCCTGAAACCCACGACCCATTCGTGCTCAGAGCAAGCCCCATTCTGGGGCGGCCTCTGCTTTCAGAGCCGAAAAGTCAGGAAAGGCCTTCTGTACTTCTGTGTTTGGGCAATAGATTCCCTGAAGCTGTCTGTTTTCTATAGACTGCCCAGGACCCATGCTGGGACTTGTTTGAGTAAGAATAAATAGGGTTAGCTGCCCAGAGTCTCCTGAGTTAGACTTGTAGTGCCATCCTGCTTTTGTGGCCTCTAAAGGAACTCTTGGGTCTTCACATCTGTGTAGCCTTTGTGGAGCCAGTGCCAGCCTTTGTGCTGTCAGAACATTTGCACTCCATCAGATCTTCCAAGGTTAGACAACCTGAGTCAGATACATTCCTTGTGTCCAGCAGGACATACCCAAATGGCCAGAGGATTAGACCTTGGAACTTAAATGTATACACTCAGATTCTTTCATGTCCTCAAGACCTGCATCAGAATTACAGGTAAAGGGCAGGGGTGAGAGGAGAACCCAGAAACCAACTTAATCCTTTCCCTCAAGTTAAGGCTCAGACACCCTTGGGAGCAGGTTGTGTCCCATGTGCCAGTCTAGGCCAGGGTAGAACCTGGTGGAACACAGCATGGGATCCTCTCCCCGTTTCAGAAAGACTATTTTCAGTCAGGAAATACCCTGGCCTAAGGTACCATCCTCAAAGAGAACAAAAGCCCTTTGGAATCATTGCTTGCACATCCTGATCTTTGCCCAAGGTGGATCCCAGGTCAAGAGCCACACCCAGTTTTCTCCACTGCCACTGTTCCCAGATGCCCTTCCCACTCCCCTCAGCTCCAGCTGATGCTACAGAACCACCTCTCTCTCAGCAGCAGCTACTGGCTTTGGCTTATTTTGCACTTGGGTCCTGGCAGAAATCCCTTCAAAGGTTTCACCTTGCCCTTCCTATTCTAGAGATCTTTCGCCTCAGGTTTTAAGGAGGTGGAGCAGGTATAAGACACACAACCTTGGCCATAACCTAAGGGTTCCCATAAACCCAGGAAGCCTTGTTCACAGTACTTCAGAAATGAGCATTGTTCTCTAGTCCCAGTTCTCAGACCCTGCCCCCACCCCATTTATGTGCTATTGATATAAGAATTGTCGCTCTGAGTTCTGGTGACAGCAGAGGCCATGAAGGTGTTCCTATCTGGTTCATACCACCTGGCCACAGATGGGTGTGTCTTTGTCCTAACCAGGATATAAACTTGCTAGGCTGGCCTGGCAGGGTGACAGTGCCAGCCCCTGGGCCTCAGGCACACCTTCTGCCCTGCATTCCCTTAGACTAAGTTTGTAGATGTGCCTTAAAGGCCAGAGAGGAAATCTTGGTTCTTATCATTTAACCAATACAGAGCTCATGCCAGGAGTTTCTACTGTTCCTTGACAACCAACCCTAGAAGGGTACCTGTGTTTGCTCTCAGGGATGTCCCCAGTGATGAGGGCCACTGGGTTCAAGCTGTGCCCTCCCCTCCTGGCACCCTTTTGGCCCCAGCTGGCAGGAGGCTGGGCTCAGTCAGCTGCAGGGCTGACATTTCCTCCTACTGCCTCTTAGTTTGCTTGGCTCGTAGAGGAGAGTGGCAGCAGGGTGGGTGGGGCTGCACTGCCTCCCAGCCTGGGACACCAAGTTCAGGACAGAGATGTAGGTTAACCCTGATCATGCCAGCCTATAGGCAAACTAGTTCCCTTGGGCAGAGACAACAGACCCTCAGAGCATTGACTAATGATCTATTATTGACTAATAACAGGTGTGAGCCAGAGACTGCAACCCTTTCTAAGCTATCTGCCCCCTAGGGGTAATATTCTAAGGATACGACATGATGTCCTGCTCAGGCACATATAGCCAGTGACTCTCCCATTCCAGTGGATGATCAAGGATTCTTTCCTTAGGATACCAGCAGTCCTCTAACCTGGGTTTTAAAGACTATGAGCTCAGTCCTCCGAAGCAACCAAGGAGGGCAGCTGAACACATGTACCTACCCCACTTCCCATTGTCCCCTACCTGCCTCATCTTGGGGAGGGTTTTGTTGACAGGAAGGCTGGTAGAGCCCTAACTTCACTCAGAGCTCTGATGTTGAAAAACAAACTGAGGCCTTGGTCCCCAACACCAGAGATCAAAACAGGGTTCTCATGCATTTAACTAGAAGTGTTGTCTATCTTTAAGGTTGAAGGCCTACTATCCCCTTACTCAGATCTGGCTAGAGCTTGCAAGCCCTGTCCCCTTTACCTGCTCCATCCGTGGTTGTCTGCCTAGGACTTCTGGAATTCCAGCATCCAAGTTTGAATGAAGTTCAAGCCAGCCTGGGTGCTCTGAGGCCCTGCCCCCACACCCTCTGTCTGACAACCCCTCTGTGAGGTCAGCACCTTCCAGTGAGTTCCGTCTAGAGGTATGTGGTGGGGCTGGGGGCTGGACATGGCCCCCTGTCCCCAGCCTGACTCCTGCCCAGCTGGCAGCCCCCTTGGCCTGATATGTTTGTCCCTTTTGCTCATCCCTGCTGCAGGTGCCTCCTCCCACTAGGCCCCCCCAGCCAGAGTCCCTTCCTTTAACAGGCAGGGCAAGCCATTTGTGTCCTGAGGGTCACTGGGGTGGGGGTGAACCTGAGGTCATCAGCAGGCAGGTAACTGGCTCCCGAACTTGTGGCCTTGTTTCTGCAGCTGGAACCTACTGTGAATGCAGCCTTGGCCTCAGCCGTGAGGCCCTTATCGCCCTCATTGTGGTGCTGGCTGGTGTCAGTGCCAGCTGCTTCTGTGCCCTCGTTGTTGTGGCGATTGGTGTCTTTCGGGTCAAGGGGTGCGTGAGCTTGGGGTTGGGTGAAGTGGGAGTGAGGCTGTCAGTCATGCTTTGAGGGGCCTCTTCAAGGGGTGGTATGTTGTGAGAGGCTGGGAGAGTGGTTTCCAGGGTGTGTTGGGCATGGGGGTTATAGGAAGAGCTTCCAGGCATGTGGAATGAGTATGTCTCCAGAATTCACACCTGCCTTTGTCCCCCTCAGTGATACGTGCTCCGGACACACGGAAAACAGGTAAGTATGCCAGGCGAAGCCTCAAGGGTGAGCTATGTCCTCTCTCTGCCCCCTCCTGGAAGTACAGATCACAGTGGCATCTAGAGTAATGTCCTCAAGGGCTGGCTTCTCTTGGGTGGCCAAGGCCCTGCCAGATCATGCTGACATAGTCCATCATGCAGGTTGATGGGGCCCTATGGGGTCCAGGAAGATCGCATAGACCTGCAGGCGGTACACGTGGAGTCCCAACTCATGGACCCTGACTTGGAGGTATCCATGATGCCATCCTTGGAGAGCAATTGCCTCATGACCATCCCCATGGAGGTTCCTCTAGAGGAGCCACCACCACCACCTCCACCCCCACCACCTCCACCTCCAGAGTAGTGGAGGGCAGCTAGGCTGAGGAATTAAACAGTATTTAGTGATCGTGTGCTGTCCTTCTTGCAAGTCCCTCAGGTAGTGTTTGTTATGGATCATGGGCGGTGTCTCCACCCAGGGGCATTGAGCCAGGGTTTTCAACTCGTAGGCCAGCTGGCCAGTCCAGCCTTTCTTTGCACCTTGCTACTGCTGATCTTACAAAGATGACTGACCCTGGGCCCTTCCTACTTCCCTGATTCCCCAAGACAGGACCTGTAACTGGCAAGTCAAAAGGGAGCTGCATTGACCACCAGCCTTGGGCCAGCACTCCTTTCCAGTGACATTGTCCTCAAGGGCTCCAAGATGAGGGGGTTGAAGCAACTGCTCTCCTGCACTCGGTCTTTTGCCTTAGGTGTGTCATCCCTCCCACGCTGCAAGGTCTTTCCTTTGCATTTAGGCCCCATCATGTGCTTATACTTCCACCAATCCTCTCAAGAGAGTGAACAGTCTCTGTGGGGGCTTTTTGCTGAAAATGAGTGAAATTGAGACTGGGTATGGACAAGACACTGTGGGTTGCATTCTGTGTGGAGCTGGTGGGTTTGATCCTGCTCTTTAGGTCTCAGTGGGGAATCCAGTGGTCTCATCAGCTCCACTACGGGCTCAGGGCCAAACCAAGACGAGCTCTGGACAGGTGGCTGGCAGTATTGGGCATTGGCTCTGTGCCTAGCCCCCGCCCAAGACAAGGAACCAGCTGTGGGATAGAAATTGTTGTGCTCGGATAGGAGAGTTAATACTTTTGTAAGTGAGGCGGACACAAACTCTGGGTCACCTGGACTCCCAAGCTGCACAGGGATCTAGGTCCCTTTCTGTTCTGGAGCTGCCCCCATGCGAGGTTCTTTTTTCTCGCGGCTTCTGCCGCAACTGTCTCTACTGTTACTGCTGCTGCTGCTGCTGCTGTCGTTGAGGCGAGTCTGGGCCCAGGAGCATGTTGGAACTGCCCCTTCTAGATCTCCAGTGGCCCCAGAGTGTCCCGAGGCATGTTCATGTTCACTAGGTGGCAAGGTCAATTGCTCCGCACTCGAGCTGCCCGCGGTACCAGTCGGCCTGAACTGGAGAATAAGTTCACTGCTGCTGGATCACAATCGTGTGAGCACACTGCCTCCAGGTGCCTTCGCTGGGGCTGGCGGGCTGCTGTACCTAGACCTGCGGGAGAACCGGCTCCGGTCCGTGCACGCTCGAGCTTTCTGGGGTCTAGGCGTGTTGCAATGGCTAGACCTGAGCGCCAACCAGCTGGAAACTCTGTCTCCTGGTACCTTCGCGCCGCTGCGCGCGCTGCGTTTCCTCTCTCTAGCGGGTAATCGGTTGACACTGCTAGAGCCTTCAATCCTAGGCGCGCTCCCATTACTGCGCGTGCTCAGCCTGCAGGACAATTCCCTGTCAGCGCTCGAGGCGGGTTTGCTGAACAGCCTGCCCGCGCTCGACGTGTTGCGCTTGCGTGGCAACCCCTGGGCGTGCAGTTGCGCGCTGCGCCCGCTTTGCACCTGGCTGCGCAAGCACCCGCGTCCCGCTTCAGGTGAGCCATCTGGGGCGCAGGACGGATAATGTTTGGTGCAATTGCTGCCATCTGACGCCGCTCCTGTGTCCCGCAGAAACTGAGAACCTGCTCTGCGTGTCTCCAAGACGCCAGACGCTCAGCCTACTGACAGCCTTTCCGGACGCGGCCTTCAGACACTGCACTCAGCCACTCGCAGCGCGAGACCTGGCGGTGGTATACTCTCTCGGGCCGGTCTCTTTCCTCGCCAGTCTGGCCATCTGCCTGGCACTGGGCTCCGTGCTCACTGCCTGTAGTGCACGGCGCCGCCGCCGTCGCACCACAGTGCGCCCCTTACTAAGGAGACAGGTAGACCCTTCGGGCCCAGCCTCCCTAGAGGATGCTGGGAGACCCGCAGCTGCGGCAACCCAAGCCTAAGGGTACTGCGGTTGTTTCTAGCGCTCCCGCAGTGCTCCGCACTTTGAAAACTCTCCCCAAACCCCTGGCCTCCCTTCAAACTCCCTGTAGGCGTCAACAATAGACAGAAAACCGGAAAATTTCTGACATTCCTTTAGGCATCACCACTGAATACCGGGGTTAGGGGTTAGCTGTGCGCGCCCGGTGTCCCTGGGGCAGAGGGGCAGCGCGCTCCTGCGCACCAGCGGCACGGGGAAGGTACGCGCTTGGACACTGGGAGAGCTGGTCATGTACAAGGCGGTGGGTGAGTGACACCAAATGGGAGGCGGATGGCGCTCCCTGGTGCCCAAGGTGCGGGGCTCGTTGCGAGCCAGCGTCTGAGGAAGCCTATTGTGGCTGCAGGCAGAAGAGAAGGCTCAGCCCTCTTGGAGTCTGGAGCCCTAGACAGCTGGAAGCCAGAGAGCACCCCTGGGAAGCGCTGCCAGTATGGCAGTGAGGGCTGACCCTGGGAAAGGTCAGGGTCGGCCCTGAGAATGGGGTGGGTAAGGGTCGTGGGAGCGTGGTGCAGCAGGAGAGAGAGGTGGAACTCAGGTTGCAGAGAGCAGGCGCTGGATGAGGGGTGGGTGGGTGACCTAGCCAGCTGGGGCCATGGGCCCCCACTGTAGCTTAGGGTGGTGGCTGGAGGAAGGATGGGGCTGCCATTTTTGCTCCAGACCCCTCCGACCGGGGCCACTTAGGCCCCTCACCCCACTGCTCAGAGACCCCAGGGCCCTGCCTCTGCCGGAGCGCCCTGTGGCCCTGCCCAGCCGGCTCAGCTCTGGCCCATCCTCAGCCGCTCTGGTCCGCACCTTGGTCCTGCAGGGGCTGCCCGCCAGGCAGCAGGGCAGGAGGACGGGAGGCCCAGGGTGGGCAGTCTCTGGGGCGGGTGGGCTTCCCTCAGGCCTTCCCCGAGCAGCAGGACTCATCAGTGTCCTTGGCCGGGCTAACTGGGCAGGTGGGCGCCTCCGGGGGCCTCACACCACGGTGCTGACCGAGGGATCTGAGAGGTTGAGCGGGCCCGTGATATCAGTGGGATGGTACTGCTGTAAAATAGAAATACACAGACAAGGCGGCCCGTTAGCTCCGACGTCGGGGGCACGCGCGGGGCCGGGACAGGGTGGACCGGCCAGCCGGCCGACCGGCGGGCAGGCGGGCACGGCCTGGGGGAGGCTGGGGGTGCTCCTCCCCCGACCCCGTCGTGCTCCGGGGTTCTGCGTGGGCCAGGCCGCTGTCCCGTGCGTCTGTCTGTCTGTCTGCGGGGGAGGGGCAGAGGAGGGCGGGCGGGGCGTCTCAGCTCTCCCTATGACGGGAACACAGCTGCAGCTGGCCCTCCTCCCTCTCAATAGCGCGTCGCGGCAGCACTGTGTCTTTTTGGTTTTGCAAAGCGCCGCGTCCACCCCCGGTGCTCTATAAATAAGAACCAACAATCAATACCTGCTGGCCCCCGCCGGCCACCAGGGATCCCAGCCCTGAGCGCCCAGTGCTGCCCTGGCCCGGACCGGCCACAGGACAGGGGCAGAGGATCTCAGCAGCTGGACCGACCCCATCCCACCCAAAGGAGCCCCCACCCAGGCCTCCCTCTGAAGAGCACCCAGCCCCAGAGACAGGGTGGGAGCTGGGTTGCCCTCCCCCACCCTGCCCACAGTGGCAATGCCCAGAGGTCAACCCTGCAGGGTGGGGCCAGCTTCAGATGGCCCGGAAGAACGGGTCCCTGGTGCCCAGGGAGGCTCAGGTAAAGACTGAACTGAGAACAAGTGCCCAGAAAGAAACCATGTAGATCTCTGAGCTGTAACTGGCCAGCTCCAGATGGGGCCCCAAGACTGAGTGACACCCTCTGAAAATGGCCTGCCACCTGCAGGAATTTTGTACTATCCGCATTTTGGCCACCTGGCCCAAAATACAGATTCTCTTCTCTGTCAGATTTCCCCTTTCCCACAGTTCCAGCCCACAGTGCCCTCAGCCCTGCTCTCCCTCCCCTGCGCCCCCTTGTGGGGATCCTTGCTCAGATCTTGTAACATAGGCGATGCTCACTTTCCCTGGTCTGGGTGACCCTGGAGATTTTATTTGCACCAGCTCCTGGAGCCTCAAGTTGGTGCAGCAAACAGACTCTTACACTTCATCCACTCTTTCTGTACCGGGGCCCTCAGAGGAACTGAGCAGCCACACCTCTGTCTCTCTGGAGCACTCTAGTAGTTTCAACCTGGAACTTTGCTCTGGACCAAATCCTGTCTGTGCACCTTTCTTCCTGGGCCGAGGGGTTTAACTACAAATCCAGATTCCTCATGGGATGCATGCCCCTTGTGGGTGACACTGCCCACTGGTTAGAGGAGCTTCCTGTAAGCTAGAGGGTAACTGCCTAGAACCAGGGTGACTAGTAAAATGGGGATTCTTTGGAGGACTTTCTTCTGAGTACGAATTTCTGGTGTAATGGCATGCTGCCCAAGGCAGGGGATGGGGTTCTGGCTCTGAAGGCAGAAGGTCCGGCTCTGACAGTGGCCTTGTGGCAGTGCTTGGGGGTTTGAGCTGAAGCACTGGTCTTAGCCTCCTCTTCCTGGGCCTCCCTCTGAGAACATCAGTGTTTCCCTGGGTGCTCAGGCCAGGCCTTTCAGGGATACCCTGTCCATGCTTAGATCACCTGGGCGCTGCTGCAACACCTCCATCAGGGACCTGTTCAACTTGGCCCCACCCCACTCCCCACCTGACAGTCTCCCTGTGACCAAGGGTCAGTGCCAGTGCTAGGCCCCAGTCGTCCGTCCACCCAGATGGACCCAGGCCCGGCCCCCAGCCCCCGGCCCACACAGAGACCACATGGAAGATGCAACACGCATGGCTCTGGTGAGACAGGTGAGACAGGTGTCTGGGGGGCGGGGCCAGTGGCCAGACAGACGGACGGGATGGGACATCACAGCTACACCCTCCAGGGCTGCTGCAGGGCAAGAATGAAGGCATCACACCCCTTGTGGAGGCAAGAGAAACAGGGATGAAACAGACGTGGTGTGGCCTCCTGACAGGGACAACCTGGGACAGGGCTATTCTGGTTCCCAGGTTTTGGGTAGCCCAGAGAGATGGTGAGGCTGACTGACTGACCAACAACATGACACGGCTTCCAGATGGTGTGTGGGTCATGGCACGGGGAGAGAGGTGGGCAGACTAACGTGGAGACACATGGGGAAGCTGAGGACCAGTGAGGGCTTGAGGAGGGTTCTGGAGAGTTCTAAAGGACAGCACCCTTGTATGGGTGGAGGGTGGGTGAGGGACTGACTTGGGGCATCGGCACAGATGGCCCGGGTTGGAGGTGGGGGCAGGGGTGGGATGGTGAGGGAGAGGGAGACAGACATGGGGCAAGGGAGGAGTCAGAGACGCGGGACTGGGGTGCTTCCCCCTTACCGTGTCTTTGGAGGACCTACGTCTCTTGAAGCTGGAGGCCAGGGTGGAGGTGATAGCCCTAAATGTGGCTTTCTTTTTAGGGTCGGGCTCTGCTCTACCACTCTTTCTATCCTAAAATGAATATGTATAAGTGATTAGATGGCTAAGGGTGGCGGCCACACCTGCCCTTGCCTGCTCCTTGGGGGCCGCTGCCAGGCCTGGCCGGCCACTCAGGCCCTGACTCCTGCCTGCCTCACTGTGCTGCACAGACCGACCAACAGTCAGACTTTCGAGAGTGGCCTCTTCTGCCCGGGGTTGGGCCTGTCCTTGCTTGTGCTGGGGCTGGGCTTGGGGGTCCTGCTGGCACTCTTCCTGGGATGTCCGCCTGGCTCCCTGGCTCCTGGGTGGCCCTGGCTTAGAGGCATCCTGAGGAGGAGGAGCCCCTGAGGACAGGAAGAGCTTCCTCTCAGGCCACACCAGCCCTTCTGTTCAGAGGCTGCTGAACCCAAAAGGCACACACCAGGAAGGGGCCAAGGACCCAAGGAGGTGTCCAGTTGGAACTGGAGTGATAGGCAGATCCGGGGGCACTGGCCTGGAGTCTGATGGCCAGCATGGCCCTGGACAGCTGTGGCCAGGTCCCCAGGGGACCTGTAGGGCCAAAAGCAAGAATGGGTGGATGAGAGATGTGGGGGCTCCAATAGCCCTGTCCCCCAACAGCCCTCATTGCAATGTCAATGTCAGCTCAGGACACAGCTACAGGAAGACACCCAGAGAAAGAGAAGAGACAAGTGAGTCGGAACCTGGCCATTGGCCACTAGTCTTCAGGCCTGCATGAACCTCACTGCCCACCCTGTCCCTTTCCCTGGCGGGCTCTCACCATCCCACATGCAAGCTCATCACTGCTAGCCACAAATCCACATGGATGTGGCCTGAGGGAGGCACCAGGGAGAGGCAGATCAGCCCCATTTAGATTGGAGTCACAGATCTGGACACAGTAAGAAAAGGGGTCTCAGGAAGGGGTGTCAAAGAAACTTGGATGGGCCAAATGCATCTCAGATCACGTGCTACACACAGGTGGGCCCTTGTCTTACCCTGCCTGCTTGCCTTCCTATGGATTGGGTGCCAGTAGGTGACTCTGGAAACAGAGGGGCCAGGCAGAAGTTTGGAGCAAGGTGCATGGCCTCCCTTGGCCCAGCTTGGCAGTGGGTGGCCACCTGCAGGCAGCCCCTGCCTGTGCTGCCCCTGTGCCTTAGGAACACTCACCACTGCCCCTGGCCATGGCTTTAGCACCAGTCCTGCCCATGAGCCAGAGCCAGTGCCACGGCCTGTAGGGATAGAGTAGGGCCGTGGCCTGGCGGGGCCCTGGACGCCAGGCCTCGGAGGGTGGCCTGCCCTACCTGCAGGTTCTTCCTCCACACGTTCACTGCCGCAAAAGCCAGCTGCATCTGCTTCCTACGGGCATCCTTGTGTCGCTTGTAGGCGATCTCGATGAAAATCAGGAAGATGCCGGCCACGATGCCTCCAGCCACCAGCATGAAGACCCCTGTGTGAAGTACCCAGTGCCTCGGCTGGCTGCCCAGAGGCTGCAGCCCCTGGAGAGTCCATCCCAGTATCAAGGCAGCTCGGAGGGCCCACCTGCCATGTTCTCAAAAGTGAGAGTAGCAGGAGCATTGCTGCGGGAGTCACATTCCTGATACCGAACCCATGTCTTATCCAGATCTTCCATGAAGCCGTTCTCATGGGACCTGGGAAGGGAAGGGGAGAGGCAAGGTGGGCTTGCAGCAGGAGTGGGACTGGAAATGGGTAGGGCTTGCATCTAGGAGTGGGGCTGTGTGAGTGTGCAGGGCTATTCAGGGGAAGGACTGAGAATGGGCAGGGCTCACAGGGGAGGCAGTACTGTGGGGCAGACTTTTCAGTCTCCCCCCTGGGGCTTTGGGAGTCGGGGAAGCTTGTAGCCTTTGCTGGGCTGGGAGTGGGGCTGACGCCTGATTTGGGTGGAGTAGCCTTCAAGGCAGTTGTACCAGATGATGTCAGTGTCTGGTTCACAGCTACTGGCCTGAGGTAGAGCAGTTTGGTGTGTCATCACTGGGGGCACTAAGGACAAGGTCCAGCCTTGTGGGGAGGCTCTTAGAGCAAAGTGGAGAAGGGAAAGGAGGTTTCGAGCACATGGCAAACTCACTTGAGTATGGACAGGGAAACATTCTGCTTCCAGGGGCTGTCCTTGCGCATGCCGATGCCAAAGCCTGAGCGGAAGAACAGCTCACCCGTGGTCACCAGGTCACATTTCTGTGAAGCCTCGAACTCTAGCACTGCCGAATCCCAGATGAAGGCATGGAGCTTGCTGCCGGCAGAGATAGAATCAAAGGAGCCCCACATAGCCGGTTCACCCCACCTTGCTTACACCAGGACAGACACTCTTCACCTGTGTTTCCTGTGTGAGTGGACTCCCCCTTGCCTGTCCCTTTACTGTCCCACCCAGCCAGGGTGGCCTTTCGTTGGCTTGCTCACTTGTCCCGCACAGCTTGGATGGCCTCAGCTGCGCTCTCATAGTTGTGTTTTTCCATGTGCCGGTACATGGTGCTCAACTCCACCTGCCTCCGGAAGTAGATGTCCACAGAACTCTGCTTTACAGTGGCGTAGATAAACTTGTCTGAGGGGTTTCTGAGCTGCAGGGACACAGACAGACCTCAGCTCACGGCTGCTTCCCAGACCCCACCAGGGAGCGACACTCCCTCTGAACCTCTTCTTGACCCTTCTCCCAACCCTGGGAGGGGCCTCACCCTCGGGTCATTGATGCCTGTAATACGCTCCTCAGGCCGATCCAGCACCAGGAAGGCTGCCAGGTTGGCAGTATAGGAAGCCACAATGATCATGGCAAAACCAGCCCACACCATGCCTAGGATCCGTGCAGAGAAACTCCGGGGGGCACCTGTGGGTGGAGACTTGGGTCAGTTCCCGGAAAGCAGAGGATGCAGCCAGGCAGGACCCGGGTTTAGTCTCACCTTCCCCAATGCCAGAGTTGAGTAGGACACCCCAGGAGAACCACATGGCAGAGGACAGGGTCAGGGCATCCTCCTCCTCTTCCTCGCTGTTCACTTTGAACCGGCCAAATGGACTGCAGAGTGCAAAGGGAAGGCGGGAGAGAGAGCGGGAGAGAGGACAGGAGGGGCAGCTCTGCCCAACCCTGCCCAGTTCTGCCCACCCTGTAGATGTGAAGGGTCCAGCTCTCGGCATGGCGCTCACCTGAAGCGGTCCAGCAGATACAACATCACAGCCACCACGTGCACTGACAGCCCCACTAGCAACCATAGTGTGCTCTGGAAGGGCTGCATAAATGAATCCAGTGTGCTCCGGGGGATCTCCTGCAGGTGATCAAGTAGTCAGTGTTGCCTGGTCCTCCAGGCCCCCATCCCATCCCCACCTGATCCCTGCCTACCTTCTTGACCAGAATGGTCAGGCCCTGGTACTTGAAGGGCTTGGAGAACTCTATGTACTGTGCACGCTCATTGTTGATGGTCAGTGGTGCCACAATCATGTCTGCTTGACCACTGAGCAGCTCTCCCATCATCCCATTCCACTCCTTTTTGTTGCTGTTGTTCACCTGCAAAGTGAGAGAGCCAGTGGGGCTGCAGGCAGGGTGGGTATGGTTCCTAGAACAAGAACCCCTGCACCGTCTTAGTCCTAGCACAAGGGGGACAGGTCTCCTGCTCCATATCTAGCTCACCTCTAAAGCCCAGCCCCAGCTAACACGCCCCTCCCCAAAAGGCTCTACCCAACCCATAGACTTTCCAATTAATCCATGTCAGCCTACAGGACCCTCCCACTAGCTCCTTCCTCCAGGCCCTGCCCCTGCCATCCACTCCATACCCGTTCCTGTGTGCCAAACTTGCCATCTGCCACCAGGTGCACCTCATAGGTAAAGTTCATGGTCCGTGCCAACTTGATGAGCAGGTCAATGCAGAAGCCATAGCAGCACTGAGGCACTGTGTGGCGTGCTGTGGGCAGTGGGGGAATAGTAACAGTGGGTTCCTGATTTCACTACCCGGTACCCTACCACACTCTGCCCGGCACTCACGGCTGCCTGGTGATGTGTCATTAGGCCCTGTGCAGATCACTTTCTTGACTGGGTCACCATTGACTGTGAATTCCTCTTTGCACGTCCCATCACTCAGTGTGGGCTTGACATACACAAAGGGCTCTTGGTGGATTGTCACTATCTGGGGGAAAGACAAGAACCAGCCTGGGCCACCTATCCTTGGTTGTCCCCAGGTGCTGGCTTCTCAGCACACAGCAACCCCTCTTCTCCATCTCTCTTCCAGTACTCTGTACAGTCCCATACCTGGGCCCTGACCCCAGCCTGGAACCTCTCCACTGGCTTTCAGAGGTCAGTCCACATCCTTCTGACATGGTTAGCATTGCTCCTGCTGCCCTCAGGGTACAGATACAGGTCTGGAAAGGTGCTGAAGTGGGGCACAGACTTCCCCAGCCATCTGCCCTGACTCATCAAAAGTGCTTCCTGCGATACTGTCCTCTTCTTGTAGCCCCCTTTCCTCAGGTTCCAGTTTATATATCATTCTATCATAATTCTGTGTAGTAATTAGTGTGTGTACTGGGCATGATCTCTGACCAGAGAGGAGAAACCCTGTGCCCTTGACAGAGCCACCCTGGCCTCCACTGGCATGTAGCCTTTAGAATTTGACCCTTGTCTTTTTAAAAAATTACATTTAAAATATTTATTTACTATGTAAATGGCATTCTTTCTACATGCCAGAGGAGGCCCCCTGATCTCATTACAGATGGTTGTGAGCCACCATGTGGTTACTGGGAATGGAATTCAGGACCTCTGGAAGAGCAATCAGTGCTCTTAACCTCCGGGCCATCTCTCCAGTCTTAAAAATTACTTTTTAAGGTATGTTTGCATGTGTGTACTGTCTGTTCCTGTCTGTTCACCCAGAGGCCAATGTCAGGGGTCTTTATCACTGTTTATCTTTTTAAAAATTATTTAAGCATATTTTATTTTATTTTATGTGTGTGTGTCCGAGTGTTTGTATCATGCAAGTTTGTATATGCAAGTGCCCACCTACAGAAATCAGAAGGAGGCATCAGGTCCCCAGGAACTGGAGTTACAGATGGTTGTGAGCTGCCATGTGGGTGCTGGGAATTGAACTTAGAGCCACTGGAAGAGCAACAAGTGCTCTTAACCTCTGAGAGGCTATCTTTCCAGCCCCTGATTTATTTTAAAGGTTTATTTATTTGCATTTTATGTGTGTGGGTGTTTTGCTGGCACATATATGTCTGCACTCCAAGTACATGCAGTGCCCACAGAGGCCAGAAAGAACACAGGATCCCCTGGGACTGCAGTTACAGATGACTGTGAGCTGCCATCTGGGTACCAGGTACTGAGACTTGAACCTGGGTCGCCTGGAAGAACAGCCAGTGCTCTAAACCACTCAGCAATCTCCCCAGCTCTACTACTATTATTATTCTTTAGACAAATTTTCTTCACTAACCTTGGAGCACAGTAACTGGCTAGGCTGGTTAGTCAGCAAGATCTGGTGATCTGCTTGTCTCTGTTCCCTTCTTCCGCCAATGACATGGTTTCAATAAATAAGTATGGTGCACAGCCATGCCCAGACTTTTATATGGGTGCTGGGATCCAAATTCATGCTACTCATTGCGTTATTTACCACTCGAGGAAAGGTCTTACTATGGATCTCTAGCTTATGTGGAATTGCTGTGTAGACAGACCATGGTGGCCTTGAACTCACAGAGATCCATCCACTCTGACTCCTAAATACTAGAATTAAAGGTATGCCCTACCAATTCCAGATTTGTTGTTGTTTTTCCCTGAGACAGGGTTTTTCTGTGTAGCTTTGGAGTGTGTCCTGGAGCTCACTCTATAGACTAGGCTGGCCTCGAACTCATGTAGATCTGCCTGCCTCTGCCTCCTGAGGTCTTGGGATTAAAGGCGTGTGCCACCACCGCCCAGCTTCAGTTTTTTTTTTTTTTTTTTTTTTTTTTTTTTAGGAAGGGCCTCGTATAGTCTGGGCTGGCCTCTTGCTATGTAGTGGCGGATGACCTTAAATGCCTGGCTGATTCTTTTCCATTTACCTCGGGAGTGCTGAGTTTAAAGGAATGCTCCACCATGCCTAGTTAATGCTTCTCTTTCAGGACTTCCTCTTCAGCCCAGACTTCAGCTGTGACAGTCTTCCCTCCATGTCCTCTAGGACCACAGTCTGAGGATACTGGAGGGGAACACAGGGCCTCTATGGGATATGAAGAGCAGAGGGGTAGGCAGCCCAGGAAGGACTGGACAGCAAGGTCAGGCGTGTGACAGGCAGTGGAGGAGTTACGCTCAGCTGGGAGTCTTGAGAAGGAAGAGTCATGAGAAGGGGACAGGACCACATTCTTTTTCTTTTCTTTTTTTCCAAGACAGGGTTTCTCTGTGTAGCCCTGGCTGTCCTGGAACTGGCTCTGTAGACCAGGCTGGTCTCAAACTTGCAGAGATCCAACTGCCTCTGCCTCCTGAGTGCTGGGATTAAATGCATGGGCCACCACTGCCCTAAATTAGATTCATGCATGCATTCCAATTCATAGTCCTCCAAGACACTAGCAGATCATCTATCATCCAATAATTAATTATGAAAGTTAGAAAAATCAGTGATGTAAAAGGCAAACCATTTTGCTCCTTTAGAAAGGGATTCAAGAACCCAACTTTTCCTTTTATGCAACTATATATGTTAGTGCTGCCAAAAAGGTGGTGAGGGGGCTGGACAAATGGCTCAGCAGTTCAGAGCACCTGAGGTTCTTACAGAAGACCCAAGTTCCCTTCTTACTACCCACATGGTGGCTTACAATCATCCACTCCTATTACGGGGATCCTGTATTTTCTTCTGTCCTCTGTGGGCACCAGGCATATCCTATTACGGGGATCCTGTATTTTCTTCTGTCCTCTGTGGGCACCAGGCCACATGTAGATGTGTGTGTGTGTGTGTGTGTGTGTGTGTGTGTGTGTGTGTACTTGTAATGCCCACCCACATAAAATAAAGTGTAACAAATTAGTGAGTCCATAAGAGTTGCTAATATCCATCTGCACCTTGATGGGTCCCCTTGGTTAGTGATTATTTGGCGCAGAGTTTTTTGTTTTTCTTTTCTTTTTCTTGTTTGTTTGTTTGTTTATTTGTTTGTTTGAGACAGGGTTTCTTTTTGTAGCCTTGGCTGTCCTGGAACTAGGTTTATAGACCAGGCTGGCCTTGATCTATCTGTCTCTGCCTCTTGAGTGCTGGACTTAAAGGCATGTGCCACCACCACCCTGTGCTTTCAGACTTTCTACATCAGGTGCCTGAACTGCAGAGATATTACCTTGGCTTTGCAAGGAGACACACACGCTAACTGTCCTGTGAGGAGTGGAGGCAGGCGCTCACCAGCTGAGACCATGGGCCCCAGGTTGCAGAGGTGAGTTCAGAAAGTGAGTAGAGCTGAGATATTTGATGACACTGAGAGAAGGTTGGCCAGGCACATGGCACTTCAGATCCTGCCTTTGGTGCTCTGTGTTATCAGGGCTGGGTGTGGTGTGGTTCAACATGAAGAATAACTCTCAAAACAGTCCTTAGACAGAGGGAGAGGTCCACAGATGAACCCAGGGGATATGTAAATCAGGCTGAGAAGAGGCTATGAAGGAGGAAGCCAACTCAAGAAGGGGGCTCCTTCTCTGGGAGCCCAGAGAGAAATGGGACACTCAAGAGTGTAAGTTCTAAGCTGAACTCCTCAGTGGGCATAGAGTACCCACCCATTATCCCTCTGCCTTCAATAATCAGTTCTTCCGCAGACCTAGTTGGAGCTGGGACAGGTTAAAGTGCTAGAGAGAACCTGTTGGTTGGAAACTGCTGCTGCTTCTCCTGCCCCCCCCACTCCTGCTTCCTCCGCCATGTGTGCTGGAGCCAGCTGCCAGCGGACTCAGCTACACTTCCTTTACCTGTGTTCTGTGACCTCACCCCCTTTTCTCCTGGCCTGAAGGAGCAGATGAAGTGCCAGGGATGGGAACGTTGGAGCATTTCAACAGAGCCCCCCACCTTTAATCTCGTGGACATCTGGTATCCTCGAGGCTTCTCTGTCTCTCCCCCTGGCCAGATGATCTTCCTGTCATTTGGGATGACCTGGGGGTGGGAGTATGAGATGGAGGGTGGCCACGCAGGGGTCTTGGCCCCAGGACCCTAAGGCCCCAGCCCCCACCCCCTCATGACCCCCACCTACATGGGTGCCATTGTAGATGCCAACTTGCACCAGCTTTCGGTTCTGCAGGTTCATGATACTATAGTTGGCAAACTTGCGGTCCCCATCCTCATTGAACTCCACACGGCCAGTCACTCCATCCGCATACTTGGAAGACATCAGTACCCTGGGAAGAGAGCATGGCTTAGAGCACCTGCTCTTATTGGCTTCTGAGCAGCCCAAGCTCCTGCCCCTTCTGCCCAGGTCTTAAGGAAATAAAGATTAGCAGATGGTATCGCCTCACACTGGGTGGACAACATGGTGCGTGCTTTGCAACACCAGATGGATATCACAGCTACAGCACCTGAGTGGGTCTTAGATGCCAGACCTCGTGTCAAGGGCTTCTCTGGGTTAGGATATATGATTGTCAAAGCCACCACCCTGGTTTTACAGGGGAGGCAGAACCCCATAGGATCTCAGGCTCTCTTGCCATCCAGTGGTGGAACTAGATTTAACCTGCTCCAAGATCAAGCCACTGGGTGGCTTACCTGGCTCTATGTTTGCTCACTGGAACATATCAGTGAACTCGTGCACATACAACCCAAATGCAGGGGTCACCCCTGTGAGTGTGCTTGTGGCATACAAGTCATGTTCCTCTTTGAGTTTCTGTGTGCATTCATTGGTCTGTGTGCAACATATAACTTCATGGATGCATGGGAACCTGTGGTGAGCACCGTGGACACTGGCTCTGGGATTAAGTTCTGCCGCAATTCCCTTGGTCAACCTTGAATCTCACATTGTCCATGGATGCCTACTCTGGATTTCTGAATCCTTAGAGGGTCCCAGACCCCACCTGCAGCAAGAGCTTTCTTCTAGGGCACCAGGCACTGGGAAGTGAGGTAAATATCTGTGGTGTAGGCAGGCTGAGGGGGAGAAGTGGAGGCAGTCACAACTCAGTGACGGCAGAGGCAAGGGCACTTGTGGAAAAAGGAATGATTGTCACAGCAAAGTCAGAGGATATGTGGACATATGTGACATATGTGACATATGTGACATATCCTAGGAATGTGGACAGGCGATGGAGGTGACTATTCATAGTATGTCCTAGACAAGACTGGCTGGAAGCCAGGCGTGGGGTCCACGCCTTCAGTCTTGGGAGGCAGAGGTAGGCTGATCTCAGTGAGTTAGAGGCCAGCCTGGTTTACAAAGTGAGTTCCAGGACAGCCTCCAAAGCCACAGAGAAACCCTGTCTCAAACAAAACAAAACAAAACAAAACAAAGCAAACCAGAAACAAACAAAGGCTGGCAGGACCACTCCTGGAAGAGTGAACCCGTGCTTAAGGACAGCCCTTCATCTGGGGCCGTGGTAGAGTATGCCTTTAGTCCCAGCACTTGGGTTGCAGAGGCAGGCAGGGTCTCTGCAGAGTGAGATCCAGGACAGCCAGGACTACACAGAGAAACCCTCTCAAAAAAACCAAAAAACCAAAACAACAAAAACAAAAACAAATCAAACAAAACAACAACAAAAAAACCCCAAAATCCAAAACACACACACACACACACACACACACACACACCGCCCCCAGCCTTTCCCGCCTCCTAAGGGATGACTCCTCCCACCTACTGAGAGCAACCCCGCCCACCTTTTGAACAGTGGTCCTGTCTTCCAGATGTTGGTGTTGCCCACGCAACCCCGCGGAGGGTCGGTGATGTTCTCTTTCTCTAGCAGCTCGTGAACTGCCTGTGCTACCACGCCCACGGCGTCGCTGATGTGGGCCGACTCGTTCTTGCCGTTGATGAGCTGCAGTCCGATGATGCCTGTGCGACCCCGCAGTTTAGAGACTAGATGGGCCTTCGGCCCCAGGCTACCCCACAGCCCAGCACTCACCGTCTGGGGCGTAACGCAGGGCGTTCCCCGAGATCTCGCGCTCCCCCACCAGCCACACGTACCCAGAACCCGTCATGTTCAGCATCGCGGCTGCGCGGTACACGGTGGCAGCGTCGTCCTCGCTGTGGGGCAGAGCCGGGTGACGAGACAGGACTCCAGCTCTCCCTACCCCCGGCTACAGCCGAGCGTGCCTACTCCCACCACCCTTTCTGTTGCCAGGCCCGGAGGTCTACACAGGAGATGAGGCTGGACCCAGGGCTTTTCCAGTCTTCAATTGCTGGCCTCCCGCCCTTAGGAGGCAGGAATAGGGTACAGGATGACTTTCGGATAATGAAGGCTCACTGTTGGGCACTTGCTCTGTGCTCCTAAAGCTTTGCCGGAACCATCTCAGCATCCTTAAGGGGAAAGTGTTTGGATCAGGATGGAAACCAAGACACAGCAGTGGTAAGTGGCAGAGTAGGGTCTGTGCCTGGACAGCTCACTAAGTACCTGTGAACCAGTGAGCTCTAGAAAAGGTATTCAAAGGTGTGAAATTACAAGGTGAGGGCTCTGGACTGAGGAGATGCCGGTAGGATCCAGTGCCCTAGGTGCTGAGCTGAGCAGCCTGAAGATATGATGGGACAGAAGAGAGATTCCTCTCCAGTAGGTATGTCCCTGACATCCAAGGCCAGGGCCACCAAGACAAGCCCCACCTCACAGGGCCATATGGTCCTTAGTACTTGAGGTGTCCTCATAAGTAATTCCTGTGGACAGTGAAACAGGGGACCTAGGTGTTCTGGGGCTCCAGTGGCCACTAAGCGTCCCCTTTCCAGCCTGCACCTGTTAGACTCTTCCATTCAAGGCTGAACCATGACTGGCACTTTGCTTCTGCAGTGCATGTTTAGTAGGGACAGTGAAACCGAGTGGATTACCTGATACTGGGCTATTTTTTATGTGCATTAATGTTGACTCCATGCATATATGTGTACCAAACAAGTGCCTAGTACCTGTGGCAGTCAGAAGGTGGTGTCAGAGCCCCTAGAACTGGAATTTTGAATGGTTGTGAGTCACCGTGGGTGCTGAGAACTGAACCTGGGTCCTCTGCAAGCACAGTGCCATCTCTCTAGCCCTTATTGGGTTATTTTTATACCAGCTGATTCATAACCGAAATAACCCCCACTGTCCCAAAAATCCTGCTCCCAACTTTCTCAACCAAAAGAAATGCCCTAAATGGCAATTCTACTGGTGAGTGAAGGCAACACTAAAGACACGGAGGCAATACCTCATCAAGAACATAGGCCAGAGCCAAATGTGGTGGCGCATGCCTTTAATCCCACCACTTGGGAGGTAGAGGCAGGTGGATCTCCACAAGTTCAAGGCCAGCCTGGTCTACACAGCAAGTTCAGAAACATAGAGGGAGAGCCATCTGGAGAGATGGCTCAGAGGTTAAGAGCACTGACTGCTCTTTCAGAGGTCCTGAGTTCAATTCCCAGCAACCACATGGTGGCCCACAATCATCTGTCAAGATCTGGTGCCCTCTTCTGTCCTGCCTGCATACTTGCAGGCAAAACACTGTATACATAATAAATAAATCTTTAAAAAAATTTAATAAATAAATCTTCAAAAAAAGAGATAAGGAAAAAAAAAGCATACACTGTATACATAATAAATAAATCTTTAAAAAAATTTAATAAATAAATCTTCAAAAAAAGAGATAAGGAAAAAAAAGCATAGAGAGAGCTGGGCATTGGTGGTGGTGGCGCATGCCTTTAATCCCAGCACTCGGGATTTAATCCCAACACTCCCTGTCTCAAAAAAAAAAAAAAAAAAAAAGCAAAACCAAAACCAAAGAGAGACCCTGTGTCAAAACAAACGAAACAAAAGAAAATGTGACAGCGGTGCAGTGCACTGAACATGGTAGAGATCACCCAGCACCACACGTGTCAAGGAGCATGTCTGACGTCAGCCATACCCACCAAATCAGACAGAGAACTCCATCTCTCCAGCAGATCTACACAATGTCGCTTGGTGGAATGATTGTGATCAATGAAATGCCTATAGACGAAAGGTCTGATCAATCCAGCAAACCTCATCAGACCATTTTATGGAAGTAGCAATGCCAATAAAGACAACATGAGGAAAATAAGCATGAAAAGTTTTGGAAATGAATTTTGTGTATCCTATTGTGTACACAATCGACAAAACAATGAGGTCAATTTAATGAAGTCTGCCAACCAGCCTAACCTTTATCATGAAGAAGGAGCCGAAATGTGGAGCCTCACTCAGTTAACATACACTAGCTTGATGTTCCACAGGTTCTTCAGGGTTTAAAGAGCAGTGTGAGTATGGATCTGACTCAGTATGTGTATGACATGCAGTGGAGTGCAAGGGTATAGATGCATGAATACAGGCCACGCTAATGTGGGCATATTTGTATGTGAATGCTGTGTGCATATGTGCTGTGTGTTCAGTGCACTAATGGGCGGTGTTCACACAACTCCTATTCATGTTAGTACCTCCACCTACCACGACCCTCCTTCGGCTACCTTCTTTGCTAGAGCCATGTCTGACAAGCCTGTCTTTAACCCTTGGGTACTCCACATGGAGAGGCCCTTCTCACCCTATGTCTGAAGAAAGGGGAGACTCCCTTCAGCTGCAGTGAGTGGCACTGGAATTTATTGGCTGTGAAGTGGCCAAGTGTCCACTGCTGGGGCCTGGGTGTGGTGGGATTCTATGAAGGGCTGTTCTTTGCCTTGTGTCCTGCTCACCCTCAATATAATGCATAAGCCAAGCAGGACTACTTGGCTTTGTCCATTACAAAAGCACCCGACAGCTGAGTAGGTATGTTTTAAAAGCATGGCTTCCTTAAGTAACCTTGATCTTAAGAAAGTCTTCTTGAGCCAGGCGGTGGTGGTGCAGGCCTTTAGTCCCAGCACTCGGGAGGCAGAGGCAGGCAGATAGATCTCTGTGAGTTTGAGACCAGCCGGGTCTGCAATAGCTAGTTCCAGGACAGCCTCCAAAGTCACAGAGTAACCCTGTCTCCTTCTTGCCTGACTGCTATGTATACTCATTTGCCCACCGTCCTGAACATTCTTTTATCCAATTTGAATAAATCTCCCTCAAGCCTTATGATGAGAAGTATAAACAATCAGAAGACAGGAAGGAGTGGTGGGCCTTTTCCTGAGCAGGGCTTTCCTTGGGCATCCGGGTCTGTCCGGCTCCCTTTTGGGGGGCACACTTCTCTCTCTCCCACTCCCTCCCCGTGATAGGGCCTCACGGAGCTGAATCTGGCTTTGAACTTGCCAAGTAGTTGAGAATGGTCTTGAACGATTGATCCTCCTGCCTCCCGAGTGCTGGGATTACAGGTGTGCACCATCATACCTGGCTTTATGAGGTGCGGAAAATGGGCCCGAGGGCTTTGTTCATGCTAGGTAAGTGTTCCATCAGCTAAGCATCATCCCTAGCCCCATATGGATGTATTCTTAATCCATTCTTTAAAAGCCGTGGACCATCCCTCACAGCATTAGGAAGGTTGAGAACCACTGAGCTAGATGAATAGCAAAGGCAGTGGTCCATGATTCTGCAGTGTGTCTTTGTACCATTAGGTGCCTGCCACACAGTGTGTGTGTGGTGGTAGTTGAACAATTGGCACAGGCTTGCTGATGCTCCTTCTGGTGGAGTTGGTGAAGCTAAGGACATCATTCTGCGCCAACATCTGCCCGCTGTCACCCTCGGAGTGGGGCAGCTAGTCCTAACCCTGCCATCTGAGAAAAAATGATCTGCTTTGCTGTCTGGGTCCTGTTTGCCACACCCTGCAACCTGTGCACAGTGAGTGGTGTGTACCCAGCTGTGTACACAGACAGTCTGCTGGCTGAATCTACAAACTGACATCTATCCTGTGCCTGAACATGGTGGTTCCTTCCTGGCAGCAGCGCAGCAGGAGTTGGGATATTTTCCTCCAAGGTGGATGACATGATGTTTTTTCCTCCACTTTGCTGGAACCCAGCAGATCTGGGCAGACTATGGACCAAATCCACCTGGACCTCCCTGTTGTCAGTGGGACTGCCCCACTACCTGTCCCATTCTTCCTTGCCATAGGTCTTAAGCTCTATCTAGTCTCTCCCGTCACAGGAATAACTGGTTATTTACAAATAGGTGATTTTACTGTGGACTCTTTTGCAATATTTACATTGGTTGGGAAGCAGGTCCTGTCCATGACCAGCCTGAGTTTCATGAGTCTCCATCAGTGGTTTTGGACTTCGGGCTCACCTGTACACCTGCATATCGCTTTGCTGGGCTCCTTCTCTGTCCTCAGCCCTCAGGATATTTACATAGCTATGTCTCCTAATCTCCCGGCTTCCTAGCATTGTATCTCCAACCCTTAGGTCCTATGTGACTGCAAAAGGTGAGAATCCAGGGAAGGATGGACAGAGGATGGGAGTTGCCTAGGCTACCAGGTGAGTAGGAGGATGGTGGGGTGGAGTTCAGCTCTCGGTGAATTTTCTTTTTCAAATTGAAACTCTTTTGCTCACTGGTGCCCCAGACCTAGGCCAGATTTTGGACTTGGGCCCCAGGTAGCATCACAGTGATGTGATAAGGGACCCAGCCTACTCACCTAGCAGAAAGAATGATGACCCTGGCCTCCAATTCCCGAGCCTCCATCAGCAGAGCCGTCACGTTCTTGGTTCCCGGGTCAAACTGCAGCACCTTCTCCGCCTGTGGTGTGAGCAGGAGCATTAGCAGGTAGCTAGGAAAGGGAACATTGTGCCTCAGTGGCAAGAGTGGGGCCAAAGCTGCTAGAAACCCCGAGGCAGCTGAGCTAGAGCTGCCGTGGCCTGTCCTTGCCACCTGCACTGTGCACCTGCCTCCTCACTCCTCGCTGGCCTGTCCTTGCTGCCTGTCCTTTCTTCAGCCTGCTCGACGTCCTGTACTCACGCTCTGCTCTTCTCTCTTTATGCTTGCTCCGGGTCTCTCTTTCCATCTCATTCCTGTCCTCATTTTTGCACTGAGCATGCAAGCTGAAGTGGACCGAGACTCAGAAAGAGACGTGCAGCGGACAGGAAATAGAAAAGTTTTGGAATGCAACTGGGAACAGAGATGGGGCTGACTTTTCCAAAACCTTGGGAGATCTCAGTTCAGACCTGATTCCTCTTGCTCCTCTAGGAGCGGCCCAGACTCTGAAGTGACCAGGTGGGCAGGCTCCCTCCCGGGGTTCCACTAGGAAACCCTGGCGGACCTGGAGATTCGCATGCACTTCCCAGAGCAGCGCCTCCTTGTGGCCGTGCTTATCTTGAGGATGCAGGCCAGGGACACGGCGGGGGGGGCATGGGGACCCAGGCCCCCCCCCCCCGCCCCCCCCTGCCCCCTCCTGCCTGCCTGCTGCCTGCCTCACCACCTCTCTCTCTCCTCACTGCTCAGGCCTGCGACTCGGCTCGGCGCGGTGGGGCCAGATAGCACCCAGTGGCTGAGGCACCGCAGGCCGGGACTCGCTAGTCGGTGGGTGGCGTGCACGTCCATGCATATATACCTTGGGTCCGCGCTTGTTGTCATAGGACAGTTGGTCGAGGTTTTCATAGTTCCTTTTTTTACTCTGATGAATAATGTGCACAGAGAAAATATGCAGACACAGAAGAAGATTATAAACGGTTGAAAATGACGGCGCTAAAGCAATCACACCACCTCCTCGGCACGTCTGCAGACGGGCACGTACCTGGAGCTCGCAAACACCGAGACCCGCGGTGGGGCTGGGGGCTGGAGTGGAGCTGAGGGTGGAAGGGACACAGGGACAGGGGCCACGGAGGCTCCCTGCCATGGAGCTATACTCTTGGAAACAGTCACTTTCAGCAGAGAGGACAGCCCTGTCCACGCCACCCTTAAGGGGTCCCGCCTGCCACCCCCACCCCTGGTCATGCACCTGCTGTGTGGCCCCAGCAGTACCCACCCCAACCCGCATCAGTCCTGAGTGAAAGAGGAGCAGCTTGCAGGGCCCTGTCCCCATGACCCTCCCACCCCCTCCCCCTTATTCTCCCTCCTGCTCGCTAGAGATCAAGGTGTCCTCTTCTCACTAAATGAAAATGCTCACACCCAAATGCCCATGTTTGTGTCTGAGACTGAGTGTGATTGGATGTGTGTATGTATGCCTGCAGGGGTGATATGGCCCTGTCACCTTCACAGAAGGTAAATATATGACAGTCTGTGATGGAAGGACAAAATAGTCTATGTGCTTGGACGTGCGTGCGTGCGTGCGTGCGTGCGTGCGTGCGTGTGTGTGTGTGTGTGTGTGTGTGTGTTTAGGCTTGTAAAGCTTGTAGTTACAAGTAAAGATGAGCAGGTACTCAGGAAGCACTTGCATGTGATCGCCTTGGACAGTGCAGAGGTATATGGAGATAAGTGAGGTTAGTCTTTCTAAAAGGTGTGGCACGCCACTAAAATATCCAAGAATGGGAATGACAAGTGTTGTGTCTGTGCTTTCAAGTGTGTGAGCGGATAGCTGGGTGTGCAGAGATAAGGCTCATGACCATGTTGAGCACGTTGGTAGTTGTCTGTGTGGCTATGACAGCCAAGGCAGAAGTATGAAGGAACCTGCTAGATGCTGAGAGTGGAGCTCTGTCTTCGAAGAGGTGGAACCCTTGGTGCTAATAACCAGCCCTCCTTCCCAGACTCAATGGACTGCCATAAAGGATTCACTATGGGCCTGTCTCTAGCCTCAATCCGCACCCCCACCCCCCAAACCCCTCTACTCCCTCCAGAGGCCTATGGCACTTGGGTGTGGGAGACAATGGTTGGTGCTAAGTATGATGAGGCCAGCTATGATTTTGCAGGCAGAACATGCTCCCACCCATCTCCCTCCCCCACCTGCCTTTTGGGGCCCCTCCCCAGCCTGGACCTCCTCCTCTCTGCTACCTGAAAAGCACCACCTGGTTCTTGGTGCTCTGGGCCCTGGGACTGAGGTGGGGTCAGGGGCCAAATCCTTATTAGGCTGACAGGCATTGGTGAGGAAGGGCATAGGGGTCACTTTGACCCCCACCCCAAGTCCTGACTCTGGTCTCTGGCAGTTCTACAGATTGGGGGCCAGGCTGAGATGAGAGTGTATGTGTATCCTGGGATCAGTGTCTACAGGGATGCAGAGCTCAGCGCTGAAGTGGTGGGGGGGGAGAAGAGGAGGGAAGGGGCACAGTGTAAGCCTGAAAGGATAGCACAAGGTGGGGGTGAGTTGCAAATGATTGGAGCTTCAATTAGGGCCACAGGCAGCCACAGGCAGCAGGGTTTTAGAAGGACAAGGCCTCTGTGAGCAAATGGATTGTATCCAAGCAGATAGAGGATCCCAGTGCTCTGGGGAGGAGACATGTTGGGGTGGATCACACTCTGTAGAGGGTGTTTCTGAGAGGTGGATAGGGCTTGTTATCTGGCAGAGAGGGGCTGAACGGTTCTTGAGTTATGAGTCTGATTGGGGCCTCAGCTGGGGTTAGGGAGGTCTGAAACAGTGGGGGTCGGGACAGGGGTGTTTGCAGAGCTCCAGGTGGTCCAGCCCTCGCGCAGCAGGGACTGACACGAAGGAGATTTCGACTAATGGCAAAAGCAAGTGAAATGAGCCGAGGACAGGCCGGGGCGGGCGCCGCCAGACGCAGTGGTGCTGAGCATGCAGGATGGAGAGAGAGTGTTCACAAGGAGCCACAGACATGGCATGGCCCGCCTGCTCCTGCTCAAAAAGGACCTCTCCAGGGCCAGGGCCTCACCTTGGACTCACGCTCCTCCAGCAACGTCTCCAGGCGCTTCTGCGCCGCCCGGCCCTCGTGGTCGTCGCTGACCAGCAGGATGATATGGTTCCAGTTGTAGACGCGCATCATCTCAAACCAGACGCTGGACTGGTGAGAGTAGGGCGGCACGGTGCGTAGGAAGCTCAGGTGGATGCTCTGTGGGTGGGACCGGGAGGCTGAGGCAAGACCAGGCTAACTAGGCTTTTCCCTCTCCCACTGATGTGCCCTTCCCCTTCCCTCACAGCATCTACCGTGAGAGCAGAGGCTTGGCATTTTCCCAGCAGCACCCTGACATGGATGAAGAGGCTCTGTTCCTAGGGTGACTGCCACCTTCCCATCAGCACCTTCCTGGAAAGGCTGACCATGAAAGATTCTCCAAGACCTCAATGGGCCTAACGCGGTGCTCTCATCCATTTCAATAGCTCTATTTTGGGCTGGGATATAGTTCAGTGGTAAAGCCTTTGCCTAGTGCAAATATGGCTCTGGGTTCTATCCCAGGCACTGGTAAGGAAATAACAACTACATCTACAATAAGTCTTTCCCCCAGAATCCAGAGACTGTGGATTACTGGTTCCTTTGCTGCTTAAAATACTCCAGCTGCCAGGGACTGTCTGTGTCTATCCAAGTTATGTTCCTGTGACTTACACTGCTCTTGGTCCCTTGAGGCTTCTAGGTTAGTTGTTTGTTTTGTTTTTGTGTTAGTGTTTTTTCCAGTTCCCTCGTGGTGGCCAGGGGCAGTGCTTTGGAGTAAAAGAATGCACACTGCCTGTGCCACTGGCTGCAGGCAGGTTGCATCACAGTCGGCGCTGCAGATTGGCTCTGAATGGTCTTGCTGGTTTGTGTGATGGACAGAGGGCTGACTCTGAGTTGGGATCACCAGGGACCAGAATGTGGCTGTGATGTTTGGCCCACTGTTGGCCACACACAGGCCCAATGAGTTTGCTTACGGTCAGTCCCTACATTGGTTCAGTTGTATGGGGCCTCCCAGCTTTTTGTGTGTCCCTGGCTACCTTGCTTCTTCTGGTCATTCATCTCTTTTACACATGAGGGTAAAAGTGTTCCAGAGGAAAAAATGGCCAGAAGGCATAGGATGAGAGCCTGTTCCTCATTGGCGTGGGAAGAGTGACTTAGGTGCCTTGGTATGTAGGGCCCTTGATCTCACTTTGATCCCCTCCCTTTGGGGGCTCTCCTACAAGAGTCCCCTCTGGCTCCTTTTTCATCACTGAAGGGCAGACTCATCATGTTCTTGGGCCTGAATGACCAGTCTCCCTGCTTTAAGGCAGCTTTTTCGGGGACTATAGGCTCTGGGCAGGGAGACTCTGGAGGGTGTAGGGAGACCTTGAGGCCCACTGCCCAGCCCACTAGCCCTCTGGCTGAGCCCAGGCACTAACTGGTTGACCTCGAATGGCTCCTGGATGCCTATAGTCTTCTTGAGTCTACAGGATATGGGGAGCAGACTTTGGTGCCTGTTGGGCCACTGGGTGGCTGGGTTGCATTCCAGTTGATAGGTCCTCACAAAATCATGAAAAACTAAAGATTGTATGACCTAGAACAAGTTCCCTGTGTCTCTAGGCTGTGGTTTTCTACAACTCAGTAGCTACTTTTCAGCTTTTGATCTCAACTGGATGGAGGCTATCCCAGCCTTTAGGCCACAAGACCTCTGCAGAATGCTGAGCTGAGCTCCTTTAGTCCCTGAGACATGAATCTCTGCCACAGGCTGCCTGACTACCCTGTCTGCCACACTCCCATGTGCATTTCAGGTGTCAAGGCCAGGGTTCACAGCATCCCTCTGAGTGCTTCTCCATCCAGGCATCTGCTTCTCCTAGAAACTTCTCTCCAACTCTTTTACTACTGTGTCCAAAGCCCGCTTGTTCTAGGAAGCTCCCTGTTTACTCCGTTTTCTAGCCCACAAAGCCTTCTTCTTCCCAAAGGGCATGCTATTGGTCTTTTCAATTGTTATAAGGGACCAACCTGAGTATGTGTGACTGTTTGAGCATCTGTGAGTATGCAAGTGGAGGGCGGGTGAGGATGCTAGTGCTGGGTGAGAGGGTGTATGGGACTGTGATAGCGTGAGCACACGGGGACTGAGTGTGCATGTTAATATGTGGTGAGTATGGATACATATGAACATGTATGTGACTGAGTTGTCATAGGCAGGCATGTCAGTGTGCTCAAGTATGTGATTCAGTGTGAGGTATGAGTGAATGTGTTACTTAAGGTCCCTGGGAGGCAGCCTGTGATCTAAGCATCCCACCCCATCTGTATCCAATGCCCAGTGCCAACGTACGTGGACCAGCTACATGTGGCCCTGGAGTTTCTTGGAGCTGACCGTGAGGATAAAAAACAATTGGGTGTGAGTCTGATGGTCAGGCTTACCTTGTCAGAGTAGATGGACATTCGGGTAGTCAGTCCCAGAACGGGGATCCTGTAGAAGCCAGCTGTGTAGGAGACGGGGGTGGGAGTGAAGTGGTCGTTGGGGGTAGGCGGGTGACTAACTAGGATAGCGTAGACCTGTGAATGCAGGAGACAGAGTCAGCTCTGTGAGGCAGAATGGACATTATTATGCTAGGGTTTGAGACCCGGAAGTGTCAGGACCAGCAGGGCAGGGGTTCCAGATGATGCCATTTGTGCATATGTCTATACATCCAAGAGACAGGGAAATGAGCCAAACCACAATGCTCTGGTAATAAACCAGGTGTGGCTGAGAAAGATTCCAGGGATGGAGAGCACACACACACACACACACACACACACACACACACACACAGAGTTGGCAGATCCTTGCTCAGCCAGTCCTCTCTGACCATGGCGTGCCTCTTGTAAAGTGAGGAGGGGGGCAAGTTTCTGAACAAAACTCTGGCATGGCCTCTATATTCTGGGATGTGGGGACTGGTTCTTACGCCCCTCACCATGACACCCAGCCTGCATCCTTTCGGTGACACTAGTGCATGTCGGCATGCATGTGACAATGTAAGTGTTCATGAACACATGCTGGAATATGTATGCACTATAAGCATCAACACGTCCATGTTTATATATGTCTATCATAATGGAGTCAGGGTTGCTATGTGCATCGAGCATACAAAGCAGCGTGCCCACGGATGTGCAAATTTGTGTGAGTGAGCATGTGCAGTTGATTGTGTCATGTTGAGATGCAGTGTGTGCTGGTGCAATGTTCATGTACATGTGAGGGAGCAGACATGTTCATGGATGTAGCATGTCCTATGAAAAGAGTGTATGAACAGCCTTGGCCCAGCCCCTGTCCTCCTCTTACATAAACTGGTGCACTGCAGTGACCCTCATATGGCTTCATTAGAATTCAGCAACCAGCTCTGCCAGGGGCGGACAGTTTCAACAGCAACATGTCCTCCCCTGCAGCACACTGAGCTCGGCTCCCACACTGTGCCTTGGTGTCTCTGGCATGCGCAATCCTCACTCACTCCCACCCCTGCAGAGCCTGCTTCCTCTGGCACCTGGGCCATCCATTGCAGACTCCTGAATGGGGGAAGGGAGAAGGGGTAAGGAAAGAAACAAAGATGGCCCCAGGCCTCATCCAGTCAGTACCTTGAAGTGCTCCTCCATTTGTGCCCAGAATGTCTGGACCCGCATTGACTGGATGGAACAAATCACTAATGATAGTCACATGGCAACACACATGGTCCTTCTGAGGACCAGTCCAGGTGACCAGCTGGGGGAACCGGCAGACACAGATGTTTGTCCCAAGCCTCTCCAGGTGCCAGTTGGCTTGGAGTGGTCTAGTAAGGAGACTGAGAAGGACCAGGGAAGGATGGAATGAAACCGGGACAGTGAAAGGATGAGAAGCAAGAGAAAAGGGAAGTAGTGGTCACCTGGCTGGAGATGAGGTCCTCACACACTGACAGGGCCATCTGTATGGCGTTGGGCTTGTGGGTGACAGAGGTGGCGTTGAGCTGTATCTTCCAAGAGCCGTGTCGCTTATTGGCCTGGTTCACGGCCTCGCGGAACATCTGCTCGTGCTTGCGCGTGCTCAGCACGGCGCCGATGTTGACGATCTTGGGGTCGCAGGCGGCACGGGCGAAGGAGCAGGAAAAAAGCAGGGCGAATGTCAGCAGGTGCATGGTGCTCATGAGCTCCGGGCGCGGCGGGCCTGGCTCTGGTTTGCGCGAGTGCGACGACCCCGGTGTAC